CACAAGGAAAAACTACAACTCATGATAAAGACTGCACGGGGGACAGAGCGATAGGCGTTCTTTAATGCAGTGTAGCAGTGGTCTAGTGTGTTAGTGTCCCTGGTGGTAGGTTTGCTCTGTTGAAGTCCCCAAGAACAATGAGCAGGGAGTCTGGATGTTTTTTCTCCACGTTAGTTATCTGGTCAGCCAGGTGTAGTAACGCCTCACTAACACAGGCCTGAGGTGGAATGTAGACGGCAACCAGGACGAACGAGGAAAACTCCCGCGGTGAATAAAAAGGTTTACAGTTTATGAATAATGTGAGGGCTGCATGATTTCTTCAACACTTTGACATCTGTACACCAACCTTCGTTTATGTAGAGATCACACAGTGGGGGATTCAGGCTGTCTGAGGGGCAAGTGTAAAAAAAAAATATTGAAAAGGGGTATTTCTTTCCTCTTGGCTAAAAGAAATCTGTAATGTCACCTTGTACTCTATGCCCCTGTAATACTTGTAAAACTTGACAATGTCATATTCACTTGGATGTGGGCCATGCCCCCTCTCAGGACCAACTCCATTTCATAGAAACATAATGTTTCAAAGAGCTAGTACACCTTCCAACGTTCCTTTTTTTTCAAAAGACGATTTGCAACAAATTTCTGTCGTTCTTTGTGGACAAGATTAGAGATATCATGGCTAGCATCATCCCCTTCACTACACCCGTCTCTGCTTGTCCTGCCCAGCCACCAATCTTTTTCAATCCCGTTTTCCAAAATGACCTCACTGATCTGGCAGCCAGTATGAAATCCTCTATAAGCCAACCAATGCCTTTTGGAACACTGACTGAGAACCAGGCTGTATTACTCTACATCAGTGCGTCCTTGTTATTGTATAAATGCTTACATTTATGCTTAGAAAGATTTTTTTGTCGCTCATTCACATATTCAATTTGGGATTAAGTGTCTTCGGCATCATTAGTGGACAACCTGCCCTACCTGAGCCACAGCAGCCTTGCTAACATGCTCAGTGACAGTGTTAACGGATGTCATGCTTATGTTAGGAAGGCGTAATGTAATGCCATTGTCACCGTAGCATGTTAGCATAGACAAAAAGTCAGATCACCAAAGTCACTAGAAATGACCTTCTGGGCACCATGAATCTCTCTATCAAAGTTAAATTTCTATAGTGCCATGCTGTTAGCACAACGAATGAAATCTGAACTGCTTTGGCTTTCATCTGGTCAGTTCATACTTGTTCATTTATCAAACTACCAAAAGATGGCAGCAGTGTCAAGAGAGATAAGGTTATTGTGTATCCCATGTGAGCACAATGTAGCACTAATTTCATTGACGCTTCAATCAACTTCAGCAATTTTGTTAAACATACAGTATATTTTAGCATAGATTCCCAGGGATTAAATTGCACACTCTTTAGTGTCCCCTTTTGTCTTCAGTACAATATTTTGTCCAAAAGAAAAAGCATTTTGCCACCGGGCAGAAAAACATTTAATTAAAGACATATTAAAAGAAGCATTCAAAATGTACTTGGATTTAAATGATAATAGTCTAATAGATAAAGCAGCAGGGGAGACTGAGGGAATTACATTTGATTAAAGCAGGTAGTGTTGTAGCAGCAAGATTTCCCATCATTAGTGTCTCAGAATGAGGTTGTGGTAGACCTATGTTGTGATCATGTATGACTGGACTATGTATCTAACGTGAGAGATGGAAATTCACACGTCAAGGAACCAAGCTCTAGAAAAGATTCAACAGTTTTCAGATACTTTGTCGTCACTGAGCAGTGTCTGTGATACAAGTAAATCAAAACTTCTTATAACCTGTTTTATGGGTTAGACAAATTTGTTGATTTTTGATAAAGAGCAAAATAACAAATAATGTTTCTATATTTTTGCAGGAAGAACTTATAAGTAAGGAAGAAAAAAGTCATCGCGTTTATACTTTTAAGTCTGTTTATTAACTCTTCAGTTTCACAGTGTCAGTAAGTATTCACAAGGCTTTTATCTGGTGGTTGTGGGTTGTGCAGCTTTCACTGCAGGGCCCTGCTTCAGAAATCAAACAAACTCTGAGCCTAACCCTGAGCTCGAAGTAATTTAAGCCTGAAATGGGCATCTGAGCTTTCGGTACCAATACAGCTGATCATAATTAGTTCAATCAACTCTCAGTAGAACCTGATGTAAGCGCTTGTGGGGGAAATGAAAAAAGCCATCATCAATGGCACACTAATACTATGATTCACCATGGCAACAGAAAAGTAAAGAGCAGAGCCTCCATTTTAATCCAGTGGTGCTAGAAATATAAATGCATGCCAACACCAACCATGACATTAATCTTTAAAAAAACAGGAGTGGAGAAAGGAGTCAGTAAGTAAAAACATTACATTTTATTCAGCATAGTTATCATTTATCAGTAACCAGATTTGAAATTCCTTAATGAATGATAAAGTGCCGGAGTTGTCTGTATGTTACATTTGATTTTTAAATATTCAGCTGTAACCTGACGTGGACAAAATGCCAGTGGCAATAACTAAAGATAAATGTATGGATCAAACAGAGGAGACATAGTGTACTAATGGTTGTAGTGGTGATGGAACAGTGGATAAGACCATGCCTTTGGTTCAATTCATCCACCACTGTGTCCTTGAGCAAGATTCTTAACCCCTAGCTGCTCCAGAGGCGTGCGACAACAATGTCAAAGCCTCCAACGCTTTGACATTGTTGTCTGTAACCTGAACACAGCGAAATCCATAGCTTCCAAGTGTCAGTACTGTGGTAAAAAACTCAACAAAAAAATAATAATCAAATGTGAAGGTGGCCTTCCTGTGCACTATGATCGAGATATTTATCATTGTGAGAACTGATTAAATATGTGTACTTCAGTTGCTTGTTTAATAAAATGCATCTGACCGCTTACATTTGTGTCTGTTTTATAATACAGTCTAATGCAATAATCAATCAGCAGGGTAGTTATGGATACCATTAGAAATAGTATCTCTATTATTAATTGTGGTTATAGTTATAGAATAGTCTGTGATTTCATTGAAAGCTTCAGAACTGCTAATAAATGGACCTTTAGTTGAGAATGTTTTGCTGTTTCTAAGGTCAAGATTGGCCAAATAATACTTTTAATAATACTTTGTAATGACTTTACTAAAGTTTTGCAAAGTTTTATTGATCCTATTAGTTTTATTTTACAGTAAGCATAAAACTACCATTCTTGTGTCGTTATATTACTGGCATGCTCCCTGGGTTTGAAGTGTAAAAACACCCTAAGCCTTCCTGGTTGTGGAATGTCAACCATGACATTAATGTTAAAAAAAAACAAAAAAAAAACAACAGGAGTGGAGAAAGGAGTCAGTAAGTAAAAACATTACATTTTATTCATGTTGACATTTATGTTTAACAACGCTGAAAACTACTATGGGTCCTTACAGGTTATACAATATACCGTAGGTCACATAGTGTTGCATGGAACACAGTGGTATATACAGAATCAATTGTCTGATTTTTCATTTTTTATCTGTATATTTGCTCACCACAACTACCAACAACTGTCAGATATTTTGTTTTTCCCAATAAATCAAATCAATAATAATCAAATGTAAGTACAATATATATAGTTTGTATGTATAAGAAAATTTATGCCTACTTATTTTATTTATTTACACATCTACAAAAAATGCAAATTAATATGAACAAAAAAAAAACTCAGATGGGCTTGATCATGGCACTCCAGTGTATACCTTAATCCATTTGAAAAGGAAATGGACAAAATGGATGATGGGTTAAGGATGATGACGCCCTTCATTTTGTGAATCAGAATATTGTCAATATTCAACAAAATGTCAATATGATCATAAATTTTTTTATCGTTCTAATCTCACCGCACTGCGTGAAAATGATATGTGACAGCCTGGGAAACGAGCAAAGCCACATATAGCAGGCTATAGCTGGCCATTTGTCACCTGCTGAAAAGAAATGCCTAAGACCTGACTTGCAGTCCACAGGATGTTGGAGGTTAGAAGTGGTTAGAGATAAGTTCTCAACATGTTGTGAGCTACATGCTTACAAAAAGTGATGCATGTCTAAAGTTGTATGGCTCCCTTATGTTTAATATTGTCAGTTTAATGTATTTGTAAATGGAAAAAGCTAATGGAGGCATATAGAGGGCGTTTTAGCTTGTAGATATATTCATTTATTTATTGTTTTAGTAATGTTAATAAAATATTGAAATATATTCAACACTTGGGAAACATTTGCTTCTGTCAACACAGTTCTGTCTTTCTTGTCACAGCACTATGCAAAGTGCTTTGCACAATTGCTTTGGAAACAACCAGCAAAGCCACCCCTTCGCAGAGGAAGGCTGTTGTTAATCGTGTGGCGCTAAGACTAATTATTAGTCATAATAAATGCATGACCATATATCTTGACAATATGTAGGAGGTTAGAGAGGAAAAAAATAAGAGCTAAAGAAATAGTTTAACCAGTTTACATGATTATTTTATATATTGGTTTGCCTGTATTCAGTATGTTGCTTGTTTTAAGATACAAACTGTTGTCTGAGTATTAGGGTGCCATCTGGTGGTAGAGGAGACAGATATTACCAGGGGAATGAATAGGTGAAAGTAGTGTATAGACTGCACCAATTTTCACCTGTATTGTTTTTTTTCAAAAAGCAAAACAAATGCCATTATGACAGTTTTCAGAAAATTCTACAATCCATTACAATCATAATGAAAGTGAAGTGAGTGAGTCCATTTTGTAGATGATTAGGTCTTTAATTTGGTGAAATCCCCTATGCAGGAACATGTTTCATTATGTTATTTTGCAAGCATGACACTTGCTTATGCTGCTGTCATGTGTGCGGGTTTTACAGACTTGGCTGAAGTCATACTTAGCAGAAAATGTTGTTGCTCATGCCTTGGTGCAATTTTTTCTCCACACAGTAAAAACACATTTCCCTTTAGCCAACTTAACTGGCTGGCATTGTGTATTCCCCACACTGTGTTGTTGGGCCAAGAAATCAAAGGTCAAAACACACTCTATAAATGATTCAGCAGTTTACAGAGACTTCATCATCACTGGTCACTGTGTTGTGTGAAACAGGTAAATAATGCTTTTTATGACACAGCAGATTACGTTTTTCAGACAAACTTGTTGACTAAAAAAATTTATTTCTTATTCAGCTGCAAGAACCAGCCAAAAGTAAACGGGGAAAAGTGCCAACTGTTCAGCTAAAAGGTTTGTTTTTTCCCCTACCTACTGTTTATTATACAGCAGCTTTACACAGGGCTTTTATCTCATTGCTGTGTGCATATTTAGTTTCACTGATTTATCTGCAGGTCTGCAACACAAATACAAAAACATGTGTGCACAATTATCAGCTGTAGCTCAAGAGATAGAGCGGTTTGCCCGTTAATTAGATCGTTTGATCGGCGCATCAATCCCTGTCTCCTCTAGGCTGCATGTCGAAGTGTCCTTGGGCAGATACCGAACCCCGAATTGCCCCTGGTGGCTGTTCCACCAGTGTATGTGTGAATGTTAGTTTTCTGTTTGAGCTCTGAGTGGTCGCAAAGACTAGAAAGGCGCTATACAAATACAGAGCATTATCTTGTGTACATAAAAGTTTTCTCATCATCTTTTGAATATTTTTTTAAAATTTTAATCTATTTAAATTAAAATTTTACTGTTTTCAGCTCCTTCTGTGTTAACCAAAATATAATTTGATAAGATTGGTGATGACATTTCTGATTAAGCTTTAACTTTCAGAAAGTTTCATTTCCAAAAAAGTTTGTAACCAACAAGCTAATCACAATATGAACAATTTTCACTTACTAAAGTCATTGCCTCATGTTTGTTCAATTTGCATATGAAAAATTATAATGATAGCTTAAATATTGCAAAGTACTTACCTATGCTGACTTAAATTCTCTAACAGAAAATTTTCCCCACATTTTTGTCGCCAGGGAATCATGAGGATCCCATTTGCTTCTTTGCTGCTGCTCTCTGCCACTGTGTTCTCTCAGGATGCAAATGTTTCGTTTCGTTACAGAAAGTTTATAGATCAACATATCAATGTGCGGATGAATGTCAATCAATGTGATGCTGTGATAAAAAGTAGAGGCATCTCCATAACCAACAGCAATGAGTGCAAGGAGACGAATACCTTCATCCAGGCCTACCCAGACAAAATCAAAAACATCTGTGGGAGTGCAGGAGTGGCATATGAGGGCATGATGACCAAAAGCACCAAACCATTCAGCATTGTTGTCTGTACCTTGAAAAGAGGGATCAGGCATCCTCATTGTCAGTACCGTGGTCAAGCTTACACCAGGTACATTGTAATCCGATGTGAACAAGGCTTACCTGTGCACTTTGAAAGAGACATAATAAACCTTGAAAACTGAATGAATAGTAGAAGTGTACTACAGTCTCTTGTTAAATAAAATACATTTGACAATTTACACTTCTGTCCACTTTTTATTGCAGGCATGTGCAATAATTGACAGTATAGTTGTGCATAATACTGGAAACAAGATCATTAATAATGTTTACAGCACCACTAGTCGCTGACCAACTAACTTTTTTGTACTGTACAGGCTAATGGAAAACAATCTTAATGATTTACTAGAGACATATTAATTTATGAATAACTATTAAGATCTGCATGTGCTATGTATTTCAAAACGGACATTAGCTACCTGTTTGATGGTGATGGGGATCATAAATGTGTACTGTTCCTGTACATGATGATCCTTTATGACGTGGTGCATATAAAAGTCTTGTTTTTGATGTAACTACTTGATCTCTTCTTAAAATATCTTGCAAGAAAAGGCTGTGAAGGCTTTTGCTCTCACCAAAAAGTCAGACTACCACTACTACTAAAATAAAACTTACAATACCCTCCCCTTTTCCTGTAGCCCGTATTGAACTGTGTCCAAGTTCCTCATTATTTTGTTGTCCAATCATATTGCAACTAGAGTAATGTTTACAGTCCACTGGGTTCAAGGCATCCCCAAAGCTGACAATGAACTCTGATCAACAAACATTTGGATCCGTTTAAATCAACCTACTGTATTCATTCTCTGTTTGTAAAATGTTTCACCAGTGTCAGCACTTTGAATTGATGGAAGCCAATCAAAGTTGAAAGGCCAGAAATTAACTGCCAGAGTCAACAAGGTTATGGAAAAATGATTACTTGTGGTGGTTTATCTGAACCCACGACTACAACTGAAGAAAAAGATATAAGTATGAATGGGTCAGCCACCACAACGAAATAGTATGCAATATGCCAAGTTTAGTCACTGAAAAGAAAAACTGTTCTCATTATGTCATCATACTAAATGTAAGAACAATAGTTACTTAAATACAATAGAAATATCCAATTATCTGAGGTAGGCAACCTGGTAAATATGACATGATCGACATTTCCATGGATTGCCATTTAACAATTCACCATCACATGTGTTGTGGAAGACCTGGAGCTGTAAATAAAATGAAATTAGCTTAGATGTCAAGTCTACAGGTAGGTTTACAGTCCACTGGCTTTAGGGTCTCCTCAAAATCCAAAACTATACCATTCAACATATTTGATCATTATCATTAAATCAACATACCATCAGCCAGAAGATGGCAGCAGAGTAAAGAGAGAGCCTGTGAGAGGGGACTGTTTAAAATTATATTAAGGAAAAAGAATAAATTTTGTGGTAGTAACCAAAGTCAACATGGCATATCTAAAGTAGCACATGCAAATATAATGCTACATCTGCAACTATAACAAATTACCATACATGAATATGAACAAAGTAAAAAATTGGATTTTATCACAGCTTGCCCTGTGGCAATTGAACTGCACAGCTTGTAGGTTCACCATGAGTGTTTAGTAGTTTACATTTTTGTCCAAAATAAAGAGAATAATTCACTTATTAATAAATGAACCCTCTTTTCCCCTTATGATTCTGCTCTAGGCCTTGGTCAGTCAGCATCTTTATGAAGAGAGTAACACCCATGCACTAAAACTAACTAGTGGTGCAATGGATAAGACATAATAAGCCTTAAGTGTGAAAGACCTGGGTTCAATTCCCCACTGTGACCCATCCACCTATGTGTCCTTGAGCAAGACATTTAAGTGTCTAGTTGCTCCAGAGGCGTGTGACCTCTGACATGTATAGCAATTGTAAGTGGCTTTTGATAAAAGCGTCAGCTAAATGAATAAATGTAAACTCCAAGCCAAACATTTATTTAAATCAACGATATTTCAACCCCATTTGGATATTGTCAACACCTTTTCAGATTCACAATTACCTTGAAGATGCTGAACTTGCGGTAGCCCTATCTGGGATGTTGCGGATGATTTGGATTTTTTACCCTGTTGCTGTGCTCTTAAGTTTCAACATTGACCTTGTTTGTGGCTGATCTTCAATGCACAAACAATAAGATGACCACTGTCCATGATGTGACCTGACTCATGAATAAAAAGCTAATTTACTGTGTTTCAGAATGTGTACAACATACTCTACTAAGGAGGATCGTTGTCCATGTTTTCTTTTAAATTAATCTGAAACTCTCAAAACAATAGGTTTGTTGTATTCTGTAAAAGCCCTGATGTAACTCAAAACTGTCTGAATATTGTCACATTTAGAGGTATGAGGCAGGGTTGAATTACACGGAGGCTTTCCTGAAACCTGTTTTTGGGGGTGGGGTGGAGCTGTTCACGTGCACACACATACATGAATCTGCCCGCAACATACTGTGCGTAACGTGCGTTGAGTGTGTTACCAATAAATGATAATTGTAAATTGATAAGATTATAATTTAAAGACGTTACAAACAATTGACATTAAAGCCATAGGATTAAAACATTGCTTTGGTTCTTTTCACACCACACTTCTGTGAACAACAAATCTGCTTTAAGTGTGGAAATTATAGCAATGAATTGTGGGTTTTGATGAAACTTGCTGTCAAAAACAAACTGCACATACAGTCACATTTGCAGATTGTAAAGACTTGCTCAAGATCATTTCCACATTGGTGGTACACTGAAGAAGCCCACCATGTTAACACGCACAGACCAATCAGATTGTTTTGATAGTGTTCCCTCCCATTTCATTGTTCTCTCCCATTTGATAGAATAACATTAAGATTAATCATCTTGCAGTACGATCTTAATGAACTGCTGTCTCAAGTGGAAAATGTTGGCCATATTTTGTGTCGCTCTGGTGTTCACAATTGGCCGTAAGTATTCATATAGAATTCAGTTTCACTTATGTTTCTCTTATTGTCACCTTGTTATTGTAAATTTGTGAATGATTTTGTAATCACTGGTCTGCATTTGATTTGTTTTTCAGGATGCATAGATGACCAAAGTTTTGTGACAAAGACTGTTGGTGTTGGAGAAGATGTGACTCTAATATGTAGCCGCCAGTCTAGATTAGCAGGAATCTTATTTTGGATCAGACTTGCTCCTGGAAGCTTCCCTGAAATCTTAGGAGCAACTTATACTTTTGATAATGCATACGTTAATAAGACTCCTCGCATTACAGCAAAACAAGAGCCTGGAACATTTGTTCTACATATGACCCAAACAGAGCTGAGCGATACTGCATTTTACTACTGTGAACAAGTGGTTGAACTGCAGACAACGTTTCTGAGTAAAACCTTTCTGAGAGTCAAAGGTGAATGGAGCCATACTCAACTTTCAATTCAATTTCCAACTTCAGCTTTGAATGTTTGTACACTTCTCTCTTGCATAGAATTCTATAAAATATTAAATGAATGAAAGGCATATTTGTTTTGGTACAAAACGGATGATGCAATACTGTGATTTTGTTTCTCTTTTCAAGAGCCAGAACCTCATATCATTTTCGTCATTCAAGACTTTCCATCTGATCCAGTTCGCCCAGGACACTTAGTGAGTCTGCAGTGTTCAGTCCTCTCTGACCCTGAAAGTAGAACATGTCCTGGAGAACACAGCGTGTACTGGTTCAGAGCCGGATCAGAAGGATCTCATCCCAGTGTCATTTATGCTCATAAAAACAGTGGGGATGAATGTGAGAAGAGTCCTGAGGCTCGCTCTCCACAGAAATGTGTCTACAGCTTCTCTAAGAACATCAGCTCATCTGATGCTGGGATTTATTACTGTGCTGTGGCTGCATGTGGGGAGATATTATTTGGAAATGGAACAAAGCTGGACACTGAAGGTAAGCTTGTAATTGTCATATTCCTAAAGATCAGCTTCATGTTTAATATTACATAAAAATATCTTCAGCATAAATAACTGAAATATGTATTTCTACCTGAAGGCAACAATAAAGAGTAATGATTGTTTTTTTACTTCTTTTGTTGTTCTTTCTTTTATATATATTTCAGATTCCCTGAGGTCCAATACAATTCTGTTTCTGTCGTGTGCTGCTTTGGCTATCAGTCTGATTGTTATAGCCATACTGATGTACACTGTGCAGAACAAAAAGTGCAATGGTTGTAATGGTAATAAAACTAACGTCAATCTATCACACATTATTTAGCTAATTGTAAACAGTGATAAGATTAGTGCTGTGTTTCTTAAATCAGTCTATCATTCATTTTCTAAATAAAATTAAATCCTGTGTATCTTCTGATGCTGGTTGTTTTTCATGTTATGTCACGTTACAATCCAGCTGTTGCTGCTGCCCTGCAAACAAATGCTGCAACAACCACTGGTGATCAACAAAGTCAGCAGGTAAGTACTTAAAAAAAGATGTTTGTTTGTACATTTATATCGACCGCTCACATCTAACAATGTTTTGCCATATATATCTACAGACAGATGAAGACACATTGGTTTATTCTGTGGCAAACTTCAACAGACGGAAATGTGGCAGGAATGTAAATAGAAGTGCAAATACATTCGAGGGAGAGAGCATCTACACAGATGTCAGGGTTTTGGGGTAGGAACAGAAACATGTACAACAAAGTTCCTAATTGATTTTTGTTTAATGTGTGCATGGTACACCATGCTGCAGATATTTAGCAGGATGTTTTCTGCTGTATGGAATGAAATAAAAATTAGTTCCTGTACACATTTGGACCAGATCTTTAAATTTATTGAAATTTATTTTTATTTTTTTCTTACTGTATAGTTTAAGCCAGCATTGATATGTATGATAGGGGCTGCATTGCAAGGTCACTTTGAAATGTGTTTCCAATCCTGCCTGTCTCTTTTGTATGTAATAGGAATATTAAGCTCTTACGTGGAAAGTTTATTTTCAAGCTTTCTATATGATAACATTCTTGGACAAATAAATGACAAATGGAATTAAAGATTCAAGTCTTATAAACCTGACCTTCAGCCTCAAGTGTTTGTGTAATAGATTGTATGTACAGTATAATTAAAGAAATTTTGGATTTGTACATAAGAAACTTGGACATGTATAATCATGTTAATATTATTCCAGGAATCATAATTGGGAGAGATCTGTGTAGATTATTAGTTATTATAAGTATTTGAGTACATTTTATGGAGAACCAAACTGCGACTGTTTCAAAACATTATATGTTAACTTGATGACAAAGGTCTGGTAAGCCTGTCGCTGGCAGTCATGTATGTCATTTTAGTATGAGGACGTGTTGTTTTCTTTGCTTGACTAACTTGACATCAAGATCACCTTGCATTCACCTGGAGTTTTCTACGTTATGACTGCATCTACGTATATAGATTGGTACAAAATTTGATTCATACATTCATGATTCCTAAAATAGGAATCCTAAAATACCTTTGATTATCCCCAAACTTTTTGTCAAGAGGCCAAATATTTTATTAGCACAATACTTTTAGGTTAAGGACCAAACTAATGACATTCAGCCAAAGCTGTAGTTTGTTTTTAATGTTACTTAGCATACGTTAGCATTCTAATGCACTAAACTAAGATGGTGACCATGGTAACCATTAAACCTAATCAACATTGTCACTGTAAGGATATTAGCATGCAGCCTCACAGAGGTGCTAGCATGGCTGTAAACTGTTAGTTTTGTTTACTTGTGAATTTGTGTAATGCCGATGACGCAGGATGATAAGTCACCTAAACTGTCCACTGTATGTTTTACTCGTCAATTCATCGTCTCGTTCATTTGTAATGTAAGTCACTGATGACCTGCAATGGACTTGAACAAAAGTGAAGTGAAAATATGTCCTAGAAAATTGTCGGAAATAGCTTTCAAAAAAATACTATGCTGCAGTTTGGCATCTCTATTCTGTTCAAACTGACCACAAAACCTCAAAAGTCATGAAGCTGCTGAAGAACAGCGTGACAGGAAATGTACTTACATAAAGCCCGTCTTCTATGATAACCAAGAGGATGCATCAGCTAGTGTGACCTATCACCACTCTTATATCATCACTTTTACTCTGAAAAACCAACAAAGATTTTAACAAAAGACAACATCAGGATGCTCCGTTCAGGGATTATACTGCTTCTTCTCCATCAAGGATGTAAGTGCTATCTCTGGCCAATTTATTATTTGAGGGTTTTATGGTGGAAAGAAAAGTTATTTTCTTCGATGTTTTTCTTTAATATATGTGTACTAAAGCAATTATGGCAACAGTTATTTGTAGTTTTGTGAATAAATGTTACCTTAATTTCATAATCATATAAAATTATACATTCCGATTATTATGTAATAACAATTACTCCCTATTGTCTTTTATTCCAGATGCACTGATCTCAGTGACCACTGTTCATCTTGGTGAACCTGTGACCTTCACATGTGCTTACCCTGATGCAGAGTATAGCAATACAAGAATTAAGTGGTACAAACAGATTACTGGTGATACTCTTACATTAATTACTACACTGATGAAAGCTACTACAAATCCTGCATTTGAGCAAGGGTTTCCTTCCTCACGATTTGTTGCAAACCATACCACAATCATGAGCACTCTGACCATTTTGGAAACAATCGAAGATGATGAGGCAGTGTATCACTGTGCAGTCACTACCTGGAGTAAGGATCAATGGATAGGCACATATTGTCTTTAAAAGGTAATACATGCCTCTGTTGTATAATACATGTCATTTTGATGTTCCAACTCTCCTTCTAAATACAGACAACCTGCAACTTTTCACACTTTGTTTGCATTTTGTAGGAAACACTCAGAAGATGACAGACTATAATGTAGTTCAGTGGCCAACAGTATCTGATCCTGTTCATCCAGGAGACGCCGTAACTCTCCAGTGTTCAGTTCTCTCCACGTCTAAGAAGAAGTCCTGTCCAGGTGAACACAGTGTACACTGGTTTGGAGTTAGATCAGATAAATATCATGCAAACACCATCTACACTGGTGGAAATAGACATCATGAATGTGACAAGAGACCTGATGCACAATCTCCGCCAAAGAGCTGTGTTTATCACCTTTCTAAGAATGTCAGCTCCTCCGATGCTGGGATTTATTACTGTGCTGTGGCTGCATGTGGGGAGATTATATTTGGAAATGGGACAAAACTGGACATTGAGTCAGGTAACTATCATTTTTCTGTTACCATTATGTAGTTCCCCCTTCATTGCCCCCTGAAGTAGTTTTAAGACTGAAAAAGCCCCATCTTATTCCACACAGTTTGACAGCATAATATGCTGTATATTATGTATTAGCTTGTTCCAACCCCGTCCAATCCTGTCTAATGGAAATATTCTAGATGTCCGGGACATCATTTCATAGACATGTCTCCCAAATTCATTCTGTTATACTTACCTTTCTATCTTAATGATAGGAAGGAAAGGAAATAAAGTTATAAGTATAGTAAGTAAGTGTAAGTAGAATTTGAACAACTTTGGTGGAATTACATTTTAATTGAATTTTACTAAATGTCATTGTGTGTTACATTTCATGTTTAGGAACCAGCTTGAGGTCTGTTTTACAGATGGACAACATAATTTTGCTTCTGCTGTGTGCCACCTCAGCTATAAGTCTGATTGTTATAGCAATCCTCATTTACGTCAACAAGAAAAATAAGTGTGACTATTGCAGTAATGAAGGTAAATAAGTTATCTCACTATATCAAATGTTATTTAGCTAACAGTAATTTCATTAGTGTAACATAGAGTTACTAATATTAAATTTTGCATCCTTATTTATATTTGTCTATTGATCCCCTCCCCCTTCATTTTAACTTTATATTGTAGCTGATGTTTCCCTGCAAGAATATTTTGCAAAAAGGAATTTAAAGGTAAGAATAACTTCTCATAATGAGTTTTAATGCATTTTGATTTCTATTTCACTTTCTATTTCTATTTCATTTCACATAATTTTAAATTTCCTCAGAGAGATGAAGAAACATGGATTTATTCCGCCGCTCTCTTTACCACGATGCAAACTGGCACTGGTGGAAGAAGCGATGCAAAAGCAGTGGAGAGGGAGAGGATCTACGCTGCTGTCAAGGCTTTTGGGTTGAATTAGCAAGTTAACTGGACTGTTTTAGATGAGTTACTACCATACTAGAGGCCTATGTGATAGTTGATGCTATTCTGTGTAAAGCTAAGATGTTATTATATGTGACTATTAGGTAAGATTGTACATATCTGTCTTTGTTTGATGTTTTTAGATTGAATTAAAACAAAGCATTTTGTTACACTAATGTTGTTGACTTAACGTTTTGTGAAACAGTGTTAAGCACAGCTATGAGTAAAGGTCAAGACATAGCAAGCTGGCTAGTAAGTTATTATTGACTAGTTCAACAGAAAATAGGCCAGCATGGCATCTGTCCAGGATCCTTTCAGCTCTTTTAACTCACCCTAATGACTAAAAGCCAGTCTGATATTTACTCTGGTCAGGTCTCTTCTTCGCTTTCTCCAACGTCGTCTTTGGTCTCTCTCACAGCCTTTGTCATGATATCCATACTCAGAATACTGAGTTAGCTTCTTCCAAAGCACTTACATTATATACTTTTTGCTGCATTTTATGGGTTGCTTGCAGAAGAGTTGGGGTGATCCCATAAATCCTTACACCGTTGTCCTGCCTGGGATTACAATGTGATGACATTTACCCTATTACAAGTCAGTGTACCATTAATTAGGGCCCGAGCACGACCGTGCGAGGTCCCTATTGAATTTGCTCGGATTATTATTATTTTTTATTTTATTTTTTTATTTTTATTTTTTTTTTATGCAAAGTAGGCTCAACTGACATGGCCTAAACATACTCGAAAACTCACCAAAATTTGCAAACATGTCAGAACCGGTGAAAAATTTCGTATTCTACAAGTTTCGCACATGGGCGTGGCAAAATGACTCGCTAGCGCCACCTAGAAAATTGGAAAAGATTAGCCCCTCGTTCACGTTCAACCTACATGTATGAAATTTTCTGGGGACATGTATCGAGACGCACAAAAAAGCCTCAAGAACCCATAGCCTAAAGTCAACAGGAAGTCGGCCATTTTGAATTTTACGGCCATTTCTGGATGATTTACACACTTCGTACTTTAACGAACTCCTCCTAGGGATTTAGTCAGATCGACGTCAAATTTCTGCTGTGCCTTGTAAAGGCATTGACGATGAAAAGTTGTGCTATTTGCGAGTTTTCGTCAATGGGCGTGTCGGTGGCGTCGATGATTCGCTATGAAACAGGAAGTTGTTGTATGGGCGTGTCCGTGGCGTGGCCTCAAAGATCAAGTCTTCGCCATGACACAGGAAGTTGTCGTAACTTCAGTGTACATGCTCACATCTGGACCAAAGTGTACATGTAGGATGACAGTCCAGCCCTGAACACATTTACATGCCGACATTCACCCACAGTCATAGCGCCACCTGCTGGCAACAGGAAGTGATATTTAACAAAGCAGCCCCCGCTGCACGTTTCACCTACGTGCACGAATTTTCTGTGGTACGTGTATCTTGTCCAGACGCACAAAAAAGCCTCTTGGAGCGATGCCCTAAAACCAACAGGAAGTCGGCCATTTTGAATTTTACGTCAAATTTTGGATGATTTACACACTTCGTACTTTAACGAACTCCTCCTAGGGATTTAGTCCGACTGACCTCAAATTTGTGCTGTGCCTTCTAAAGGCATTGAAGATGAAAAGTTGTGCTATTTGCAAGTTTTCGTCAATGGGCGTGTCCGTGGCGTGGCGTCAAAGATCAACTCTTCGCCATTACACAGGAAGTTGTCGTAACTTCAGTGTACATGCTCACGTCTGCACCAAACTGTACATGTAGGATGAGAGTCCCGCCCTGAACACATGTACATGCTGACATTCACCCACAGTCATAGCGCCACCTGCTGGCAACAGAAAGTGACTTTTAACGAAGCAGCCCCCGCCGCACGTTTCACCTACGTGCACAAATTTTCTGTGGTACGTGTATCTTGTCCAGACGCACAAAAAAGCCTCTTGGAGCGATGCCCTACAACCAAAAGGAAGCCAGCCATTTTGAATTTTACGTCAAATTTTGGATGATTTACACACTTCGTACTTTAACGAACTCCTCCTAGGGATTTAGTCCGACCGACTTCAAATTTGTGGTGTGCCTTCTAAAGTTATTGAAGATGAAACGTTGTGCTATTTGCGAGTTTTCGTCAATGGGTGTGTCCGTGGCGTGGCGTCAAAGATCAAGTCTTCGCCATGACACAGGAAGTTGTTGTAACTTCAGTGTACATGCTCACATCTGAACCAAAGTTTACGTGCTTGATAACTCTCCCACCCCGCTATGGAGGACCGATCCTGACACAGTCAGAAATAAATACAGAAATAAATAAATGCTCAACAAATAAATAAGCATCCAATTAAATACACAAAAAAATAAAGTAAATAAATAAATGTAGGTAGTAATTAAATTATACAAGGAAACATAAATGTATATATTTTAATTAGTGCCTTTACTTATTCACCTCAAATAAGATTGATTTGATTATACTCACAGGAAGTATAAAACCTGTTACATGCGTCTATTAAAAGTAAAGTAACACAAAAATGTCAGGGAAATTACTTTACTTAGAATTAAGTACTGCAGTTGTACATTTGAAATACCTTCCTAACTTTCTGATAGGAAGCCTTCTTGAGGTGGTATAAAACATTTCTTCTTATATTCTGATTTGAGTTGTGGACAACTATGACCACATGAATTAAAAAAATTAAACATTTCACTGCCCAAGTCAGCTATAACAATAGTCTTGTTCATTAGACTACATGCTGTACAGTATTTGTGGACAGATTTTGTCCCAGGATTTATTATGCATTTCTTCTTCTTCGTTGCATGATTTAGAATAATAAGGTGAGAAATGGGTCTATTCTGAGTTCATCCTGCACTGCAGCAGCTAATAAAGTCCATTTAATCCCAAAAACGCTTTTCTTTTAGGAAGGCTGGAGCAGAAAACAACTCACCTTTCTCAAGTTGTACAGTAATGTCACATGTGTATGAAGGTGGATCAAACAAGCTAATCTTAAATGTCAAAGTAGAGAGGAGCCTAGTAGGCCTATTTATTTTCATTCATTACACAATATGAATAAGCTATGCAGACAGTTGTAAAGAAAGAACATCTTTTTCTTCTGTTCTCTACTTGTTATAGTTACACAGTATTAGGGGTGTGGGCTGTATTAAAAGTATCCACTGTTCTCCCATGCTCTAACACACAGTAACGATGAAATGTGTGCTGTTCTCACATTCTTCCTCTGTATGTACACATAAACAACAAGGCAGGGAAATATAAAAGGAATTTATTTTATTGTTTGGGTACATTATTGTTCAGTGTACATGCTCACATCTGAAACAAACTTTACGTGCTTGATAACTCTCCCACCCCGCAGACTACACACCAATACCGATTTATATTCATAGCGGCAAGTGCTATGTAGCTCCACATAGGGGACACAGGAAGTGACGTATAACACCTTCATGCGGCGTCGGAACCGCGTAGCAAATTCACAGCCGCACCGGCAGAGCTCCAGAATATGCAACTCGGCCGGGTCACGCGCGGACGCGCTACAAGTGCGAGGGCGCGCCCAACGCTGCTTGCAGCTTTAATATTATTTGAAACTGTTGTTTGAAGATAAAATTACTTCATAATTTTGCTTTCAAGTGAAATGTGGCCTTGTGATTTAACTGGAAAGTTCTATTATTTCATTGCTAAAGGACAAGTTAGGGTGCTGGTTAATGCATGACAGGAAATACTAATGCTGTCATACTGAAAGAACAAAAAAGATATGGGCCTTTTGCATCATCAGCTATTTATACCATACTTTAGACCACAAGGCAGGAAGCCTTTTATATTTTCTTTGTTTGTAGGTACAATAAAGGTGTTAAAGATTTGGGTATGTACCTGTTTTTTCCTGTTGATGTAGTTTGACCACTTAAAGTTTCCCCTTGTGGGATTAATCTTCTTAATCTTAATCTTAAGAAGAACAGCCTGTAGGGGGCACTAGAAGGACTTCAGGGACCAAGTAAATTCTAGGTTGTTTTATTTATTTTGCATCACTGTTATTTTGGTGAAGAATAATGAGTAGTTTACATTCAGTAATTTCTGTTTTCATGTATCTACAAGAATTAGCAAGAAATGGCAGCTTGACTAGTACAATAGCAAATATGTTTTTCTTAGTATTTCCTTAAAATTCTTTAAGGAAAGTGCCCCATATAATCACATTTCCATCATTTATTTTATATGCGGATGATACATGTGACACACACAAACACCTAAACCCCCAAAGGATGACAGGCAGCAGTTATCATCCTTTGGAGGTCAGCAGCTGGCAGAAGCTGAAAGCATTTAGTAACATCTGTGAGCACACCACACCAGATTCTTGCAAGGGTATGTGCATAGGCCTGTGTGAATGTGGCATGAAATATCCTCATCATAGACATACACAAGCCACAACACAACACACATGGCTACTCTGGTTCAAGTTCAAGTTGTATGACAACATCTATTAAATGGTGTTTGAAGTGCAATACACAGTAATATAATGAATTGCATGAAAGTCACTTTATGTGCAGCAAACTCAGTAATAAGATGCTTGGTGTATCCAAGCTGGACTACACCTTCCTTTTCAGCGGATATGGCAAACCCACTGTCCTAACGCATTGATGTGCCAGTCATGTTTTCGTGGACTGTCACAAGATGAGCTTGACCTATACAAAACTCTTACTGTGTGTAAAACTTTTTTTTTTTTAATTGGATAGGCTGAATAATGCATCAACATAGTTTAAAAAAATTTTGTGCTCCATTGTTAAAAAAAGGATAAAAATGTACAGGATTGCTAGGTCACAAAAAGCATGAGGTCCAGTGTGTCGACATTATTCGCACCTCTATTGTGGCAACCACGCAACATAAGCCATAGCTCTATGAAGAGACTTGAGGTCTCACCGGTTCACATGCAGGCTGTGCTCTGCCTACAGCAAAGGAAGACCGTTCATCAGGAGTACTGGGGAGTTTTCCTGGTGGGCCAGTGAACCACACAGTATTGAAATAAAGGAAAAAAACTAGTCTATTTGTATGTGCATTAATCCACTGGCGCTCTCTGTGCACATAGTATGTGGTTACTGGCCCAGACAGGGGTGGGGCCGGGCTGTTGTAATATGATTGGCTATATCAATCAATCACAAGCTCCACATTAGAACATAATATAACAGTTGAACTGCAGACCTAACC